TAAACCCTAAACCCTAAACTAAATTGACTAAATTAACTAAGTAACCACGTTATAAAATCAAATTATACTTAAATATTGTTTACTATACACAGAAATAAACACACTTAGGTAAATTTTTAATTTTTCAAAAAAACATTTATGCTTTCAAAAATCTAACCCTAAGAAACACATACAATACTACAACATATGTTGGTGAAACTTAAACCAAAGAATATCATGACTCACTACTTTCACTCATCTATGTTGAAAACAACTGACTTTTGTTATATATTAATTTATATCTCTTAAGACATATGTTAATTACATAATTCCAATTTTTCATTTATCAAAATATTTATTACACAATTTTTAAATTATTTTTAAGAAAAACTGTCCCAGACGACTTGCGAGGGCTAAAACGTAAAAAAAAACTCTTTTTTTGTTTGTTCACAAGGGGTTGGTTGTAATTTCAACAGCCTTTTAAGTTACTTTTGCATTTGATTCAAGTTTGGGTTTACTTTTGCATTTCAAATCAAGTTTTGAGTCATATTTGGCAATTTTCCCTTTTTAAAATATCGCTTCTGCATTTTTAGATGTTTCTTCTCTTTGTCCTGTTTTCAGATTCAAGCAGCATAAATAGAAAAAAAAAGTTATTGGAAGAGTTTAAAGTTCTACCAATTTTGATTAAGAAAGTAGAAAACCAAGTTCTAATTAAATATCATTAAAATAATAATATTAAGTTGGTGAGAAACTTTTCTAACGGATGGAGAAGCTATGTTATAGCATTTTTGGTATAAAAATTCCTATATGCATCATTTCATCTTTTAATTCGAGCTTATATATTTTCTTACAAAAACAGGTCATTAATAAAATAATATTTTTGGTTAAAATAGTTCATTTTATAGAAAGACCAATCGACTTTTACAGTCGTTATTAAATGTAACTACAGATTTGATCCGTACACACGTGTATATATTATATATATATGCTATAAATATGTAAAACTGATATAATCGTAGATATTTTATATATTAATGTCATTTATATAATATAATTCTATAATTTTATTATTTGGATTTTTATTTAACATTATTAATATATAAAATTTGTTTTATACATTTTACTTTATTATTACATATTAACATAATTTCGAGTTTGATATGATAAATTTACTATCTGAAATAATCAAATAGATAAATCTTTTCAGAAAAAAATATATATCTATATATATTTCTACAGTTTGCATACAAAATATTCTAAAATTTTATCTAGTCATACAATAGAACAAATATTTTTTGGGATCATTTATATTTTGTTATTGTGTTATGAAAAATATAGTTTACCATCAATAATTTTAGTATATAGGAGGATTTTATAAGTAAAAATATTGTTAAGTTTAGAAAAAAAATATACTTTTTATTTTAGTAATTTTATACATAGTTTACGAATTTTAACTCATTTCAAAGGTGAATGGTATTTTAAATAAAAGATATATCTTTTTAAAAAAATAAATTAAATTAACTATTAATGTAGTTTTTTATATCTAATTTATATAGTACTTTATTTAATATAATATAGACTATAATTAGAAATTTTATGAAAATAGCGTACAAAATAATTAAAACTTAATCAACACTTATTAGTAAATAATATTATACTAAATTATTAAATTAATTAACATATTATTTAAACTTATAATTAAATTTTGTGAAATTTTTTCGACGGATTTTTTATAAATAAAAATAAAATTAAGGCAGTTTTATAGTAAGCACCATAACTAGCTTTTATTCAAACGATCCTGCCTTCTTTTCCACTTTATCATAACATCGTTTAAGTAATTATATTTATTTATTATTCTTTATACATTAAACGTTTTCAATATGTACTCTCTTCCGAACATCTTTAACAAAATCGTTCTGCGGTTCTAAATGTTTCCATCTCTTTGTACTTATTTTCAGTTGCATGCAGCATATAGATGAACATTTTTATTGGAATATATATTCTAAAGTTCTACCAAGTTTGATTAAAAAGTAGATCAAAATTCAATTAAAGTTCACTAAAATAATAATATTAAGTTGCTGAGAAACTTTTCTAACGGATGGAGAAGTATGTATAGCATTACCGTTTTAAGATTTCGTAAATGCATGCATCATTACATCTTTTAGTTAGATCTTGAATACTGTCTTACAATAACAGATCATTATAAAGAAAGCATACTTCGGGTTAAAATAGTTCATTTTACAGAGACCAATCGACGTTTATAGTCGTTACTAAACGTAATAAACACCATAACTAGCTTTTAATCAAAACGAACCTCACTTCTTTTTCACTTTATCATAATATAATAACATCGTATATATCAGTTATCTAATTAACTTAAAGCAATAAAAACAAAAAAAGGAGTCAAATTCTTCGGTTACAATGTCAACACTTGTACAACTGAGCATGCTAGTTCGTAACTGTCACTAAAAACTGGCGACAAATGGCCATCAAACCTACGCTTGTATCCATTTCCTTATTTTGTTCCCATGCACCAATGCAATTATATTTATGAACATGAGAACAAACATTGATAGATAACCCAAAAAAAAAGAAGTATGAAGATGTCTCCAAAATCTGACTCAGACATGACAAGCTTCGACCTATCATCATCACCGAAGCGTCCCACTTACTTCGTTCAAAGCCCATCACGTGACTCCGACAAGTCTTCCTCGGCGGCACTAACTCACCAAACTACTCCGACAGAGTCTCCGTCACACCCATCGTTTGCTAGCCGCATCTCCGGTGGCGGTGGAGGAGGATTCCGGTGGAAGGGACGGAGAAAATATCACGGCGGAAGATGGCCGCCGGGTGATAAGGAGGAGGAAAATGGTGATGGGCGGTACGAGGATCTTTATGGAGACAACAGAGGAATCTCAATCGCTACTTGTAGACTTGTTTTAGGAGTTGTTGCTACATTGAGTCTCTTTTTTCTTATATGTTCTATTCTCTTTGCGGCTTCTCAATCATTCTCCCCCATCGTCTACGTCAAGGTAACTTAATTTTAACTTGCATATATATATATATATATATTATACATATTCAAGCAATCAAGCCTCAGTTAAGTTATGTAGTTGCATTTTCGGTTTACAAACGCTTATTAATTATGTGCAGTGCATGCATCTGGGTTTACCAATGAAAACCTCTTCTCTTAATTAAACCGCATTGTCAAAATTAAATAAACATTTGTGTATGTTTTCAAAAAATATTTTGGATTACTGTAAAGAATTAACAAAAAAAATGTTCAAACGCTAATTAAGATTAGTGATTTCATTCGAATATATAACATGTATATGCAGACCGAGTAAAGAACCATATATATATATATATCTTAATTAGGCTTTGATCGGTTATTTGCTTTTCATTTTAGAGCCTTCTACATTATTTAGTAGTGCATTTCTTTCAAATAATACCACGATTCTTTAATTTTCAGCACAAAAGCATATGAAATTACAATCGCTAGTTCGATACTTGAGTCTAAGCTGAACTTCTATAAGTGAGTAACTTTTGAAATGCATGTGCTAAATAGGGTGTGAATGTCCATAGCTTTTACTACTGGGAAGGTTTAGACAACACAGGAGTTCCTACAAAGATCATGAACATCAAATGTTCAGTGCAGATCACAACAGACAATCCTTCTACATTTTTTGGCATTCACGTCAGCTCCTCTGCTATAAAAATCGTCTACTCTCGTCAATTCACAGTTGCCATTGCTCAACTAAATAGTTATTACCAACCAAAACAAAGCAACCACACGTCAAGGATCGACCTTGTTGGCTCCAAGATTCCACTCTACGGTGCAGGAGCGGACATAGCTACTTCAGACAACAATGGCGGAGTTCCCGTGAAGTTGGAGTTCGAGATCCGATCACGTGCTAATATTGTCGGAAGCTTGGTCAAGTCTAGGCATAGGAAACGTCTCTCTTGTTTCTTCTTTATCTCCTCCAACACCACATTTGTAAAATTCACCAACAAGACTTGCAGTTAAATATAAGTTTCTTCATTTTTATTTTCTAATCCATTGTAATATTTATAAACAAACTAAAAACTAAGTTTGTCAAAACGGAATGTTACATTTTGTTCGGATCTAATTAATAAAACTTTGGACTTAATATATAAAGAAATACAAATGAAAATAACATGTGGAACCAACCAATTGTAAAACTGATATGGAGTAGATCAAGGAGATAAACATGGGAGAACATTTCCTACTTCTAATTATCCATCCACATTAAAGAACGTAGAATTGTTTCCAAGCAAGAACCAGTGAGAAGAAAAGATGATGGACGCAACGTCTGAATCAGAAAGAACGAGCCTAGACCTATCTATCTCATCACCAAAACAAGCTTACTACGTTGAGAGCCCATCAAGCGTGTCTCAAGTATACGATGGTGATAAATCCTCTTCGGCTGCTTCACTGATTCAGGTTCAGACCCCAAACTACACCATCCTCACCGAGTCACGTCTCTCTTCTTCAAGCCGCACCTCCAATGGGACAAGCGGTGTGGGATTCCGGTGGAAAGGAAGCTCCAGGAGAAGAGACATGTATTGGCTGGAGAAGCATTACACCATTGACGAAGAGGAAGTTTATGAAGATAACAGAGGCTTATCTGTTGGACAATGTAGAGCGGTTATGGTAATATTGGGGATTGTGGTTGTGTTCTCTGTTTTCTGCTCTGTTTTGTGGGGAGCTTCTCATCCGTTCTCTCCTATTGTCTCTGTCAAGAGCTTTAGCCTCCATAGCTTTTATTACGGAGAAGGAATAGACAGAACAGGTGTTGCGACCAAGATTCTGAGCTTTAACAGCTCTGTGAAGGTGACAATAGACAGTCCTGCTCCTTACTTTGGCATCCATGTCTCTTCTTCTTCTACCTTCAATCTCACCTTCTCTGCTCTCACTCTCGCCACTGGTCAGGTACATTCTTTTGTTTCAGATTCCACTCAGTGCTCCAATGTTATCATAATCTGATCTTTACATTTTTGGTTTGTGAAGCTTAAGAGTTATTACCAACCAAAAAAGAGCAAGCACACAGCCATTGTGAAGCTCATTGGCTCCGAGGTTCCTCTGTATGGAGCAGGACCAAACTTAGCGGCTTCCGACAAGAAAGGAAGAGTTCCAGTAGAGTTGGAGTTTGAGATCAGATCGCAAGGGAATCTTTTGGGGAAGCTGGTCAAGTCGAAGCACTTGAACCACATCTCCTGCTCTTTCTATATCTCTTCCTCCAAAACCTCAAAACCAATAGTATTCACTCACAAGACCTGTAGACACATTACCAAGTGAAACACCTTTTTCTAATGTTTCTCCACTTTGCAAATAATAATCTCTTATTTCATTGTTTTTTGTTTTTTGTGTTTTTAATCTGCAATCTAATTTCAAATGTGCAAATCTTCTATCCTTCATAGAAAGGTACATGATTTTCGTTTTTATGTGCACCACAAGTGTTTAAAAGAAAGAGATGCCTAAAGAAAACAAAAAACAATTCCAATATGCTCTATTGCTGAATGTCTACAGCACAGCCACCTTCGAGCACCGTCCCGCTTACTCTGTTTGGTGGCCAATACCGAAAAACTGACCGTCCTATAATATTCTTCAAAGGCAGAGGTCCCCTGAAGACAAAAACACATGTTTTCCAGGATAAAGAAAAGTCCAAGAAGATGCTGGATTTCATGAAAGGTGTCTATCTATATGTCTCTTACCACACGTGAGAATCGTAACTGTTATTTCGGTTGTCACCCATCACAAAGACTGAGTTCTCTGGTACCCGCTACAATGTTGAAGTAACAGCCAAAATCAGAAAAGAACAGAAGTCTTATGTTCAATCATATGACTGCAAGGCAACGAAGATACTTACAACTGGTGTCATCTCATAACCAGGAGGCTCTAAGATGAAACTTTCATTCCGAGGAACACCGTTAACCATCAGTTTCCCGTTATGAACCTACACATAAAACCCATCAGCTTCACTAAATAATAAGTCTCTTCACATGCTAAGAATTGTTAAGCAATATGTTCATAGTACCTCCACAAGGTCGCCTTCTTTGGCAACAATCCGTTTAATGAACACATCCGCATCAGTGTACCCAACTTCCTGAAGAACGGGTGGACTTTTGAAGATAACAATATCGTTTGCACAAGGCTTCCTGAAATAATAACTCACCTGCACACACAAACATCTCACTAAGAAAAACACATCAATGAAACTCTTGACCTAATCCTAAACCTCATATGATTAAAGAGCAATATTCTATAGTATGATTAAACGTAACCTTCTCTGCAACTAATCTGTCTCCGACGTCAAAGGTAGGATACATGGACAAGGAAGGAATGTATCTTGGTTCTGCAATAAAATATCGAAAAGCCAACGATACAGTAATAGCCAAGAACACAGTCTTGGCATCGTCCGACGTGAAATCCAGCCATTCCGGCAACAGTCTGTTTTTCCCCTCCACTTCACTGTCTTCATCGCCGTTACCTCCGCCGTCGCCTCCTTCGCCGTTTCCTCCGCCGGAGTCTAAAGGCGGGGCAGGCTTCGTTGTTTCACCAGAATCTTTGATTCCATAGCATCTCAGACTCCGACGGTTTGAATCTGTTTCTTTGGTATTGAAGAAATTGATACGGCGGAGAGAAACAGATTGGGATTTTGAGGTGAAGTTGACACGAGTTGGATGATTGGGGTTCTTGAAAAACCTTAAATTGGAATTAGATGAGAGAAGAGGTAAGGACGGAGTGGACAAGTGAAGAGATATTATCTTCATCATCAATAACAACGTCAACGAGTTAAGCTTCCTTCTTTCTTTTTGATTCTTGTATGCTGCTACGAGGTTACCTCCAACATCATCTTCTTTTTATTTACCTTTAGAGGTATGAAATAAGGGAAATTTACATCAGTAACTAACCAAAAAGATTATAATTAACAAACTAATATTATCAAGCAAATGGATAGCGTACACCATTACTGCCTTGGTGTGGGTGTTACTATACACCCTTCCGAATTCGTTTTAGATGTATTTAAATTTTAGTCATATTCGGATATTTAGAAATTTTAGTTCGATTACAATCTTGGTTCGGATAATTCCTTTAAATTACTTTTAAAATGCATATATATTTAAAATTTACAAAATCTAAAAATAAAAGTCATATATAACATATAAATTTTAATTATATATGCTAAAATACCTAAAAATACACCATTACTGCTCTTACTTGCCCACTAGTATGAAAGTTCGAACCTCGCAAAAAATAATTTTTAATTTTATAAAATTTGATGTCATTTTGATAAATTAACGGATGACTAAAATATTTGATGGTCGATATAAATATATATATAAGAAAAAATTTGAGAGTTCATGTAATATTTTTTTAATTTTTAGTTTTACAGAATTTATCCAAAATGACGTCGTTTTTTTGATAATTAACGGATGAATAATATTTTTTACGGTCAGTTTATATATAAGCACGATTTTGAGAGTTCATGTAGTATTTTTGAATCTTTGTTAATTTCAGTATGAAATATGCACTACTATAAAGTTTGGGAATGAAAATGCACAACACATAAAGTTCAGATAGTATTTTTATATTTTTGATTAGTTCAGTGAGGAATACACACTATTATAAAGTTCGGAAAGGAATATGCATGGCGGGTAAAGTTCAGGTTGAAATAGGCACTTTTCTCGTGTTACTATACACCCTTCTGAATTCGTTTAAATATGAAGAAACCCAACTTATATGATAACAATTGTTTGATTCAAGAAATTTGGTGAAAAAATCAAACCCATATGATAATAATTGTTTGATTCAAGAAATTTGGTGAAGAAACCAAATTCAGAAACTAGAATGGTGTTTCAAAAACTAAGAATGTCAATGATTATATCATAAGAAAACAAAGTATATGAACACACCAAACATAACACAAAGAACTATCCCATATAATGTATTTGTCTACGTGACACACCAAACAAGATAATTTTTCTAACAAAATTACTCTTTCACTATCATCGTTGACCAAATTTTAGTTATATTCGGATATTTAGAAATTTTGGTTCGATTCCAATCTTGGTTCGGATAATTCATTTAAATTACTTTTAAAATGCATATATATATTTTAAATTTACAAAATCTAAAAATAAAAGTCATATATAACATATAAATTTTAATTATATATGCTAAAATACCTAAAAATACACCATTACTGCTCTTACTTGTCCACTAGTGTGAAAGTTCGAACCTCGCAAAAAATAATTTTTAATTTTATAAAATTTGTTGTCATTTTGATAAATTAACGGATGACTAAAATATTTGATGGTCGATATAAATATATATATAAGAAAAAATTTGAGAGTTCATGTAATATTTTTTTAATTTTTAGTTTTACAGAATTTATCCAAAATGACGTCGTTTTTTGATAATTAACGGATGAATAATATTTCTTACAGTCAGTTTATATATAAGCACGATTTTGAGAGTTCATGTAGTATTTTTGAATCTTTGTTAAGTTCAGTATGAAATATGCACTACTATAAAGTTTGGGAATGAAAAGGCACAACACATAAAGTTCAGGTAGTATTTTTATTTTTTTGATTAGTTCAGTGAGGAATACACACTATTTTAAAGTTTGTGAAGGAATATGCATGGCGGGTAAAGTTCAGGTTGAAATAGGCACTTTTCTCGTGTTACTATACACCCTTCCGAATTCGTTTAAGATGTATTCAAATTTTAGTTATATTCGGATATTTAGAAATTTTGGTTCGATTCCAATCTTGGTTCGGATAATTCATTTAAATTACTTTTAAAATGCATATATATTTTAAATTTACAAAATCTAAAAATAAAAGTCATATATAACATATAAATTTTAANCTATACACCCTTCCGAATTCGTTTAAGATGTATTCAAATTTTAGTTATATTCGGATATTTAGAAATTTTGGTTCGATTCCAATCTTGGTTCGGATAATTCATTTAAATTACTTTTAAAATGCATATATATTTTAAATTTACAAAATCTAAAAATAAAAGTCATATATAACATATAAATTTTAATTATATATGCTAAAATACCTAAAAATACACCATTACTGCTCTTACTTGTCCACTAGTGTGAAAGTTCGAACCTCGCAAAAAATAATTTTTAATTTTATAAAATTTGATGTCATTTTGATAATTAACGGATGACTAAAATATTTGATGGTCGATATAAATATATATATAAGAACAATTTTGAGAGTTCATGTAATATTTTTTTAATTTTTAGTTTTACAGAATTTATCAAAAATGACGTCGTTTTGATAATTAACGGATGAATAATATTTTTTACGGTCAGTTTATATATAAGCACGATTTTGAGAGTTCATATAGTATTTTTGAATTTTTGTTAAGTTCAGTATGAAATATGCACTACTATAAAGTTTGGGAATGAAAAGGAACAACACATAAAGTTCAGGTAGTATTTTTATATTTTTGATTAGTTCAGTGAGGAATACACACTATTATAAAGTTCGGGAAGGAATATGCATGGCGGGTAAAGTTCAGGTTGAAATAGACACTTTTCTCGTGTTACTATACACCCTTCCGAATTCGTTTAAGATGTATTCAAATTTTAGTTATATTCGGATATTTAGAAATTTTGGTTCGATTCCAATCTTGGTTCGGATAATTCATTTAAATTACTTTTAAAATGCATATATATTTTAAATTTACAAAATCTAAAAATAAAAGTCATATATAACATATAAATTTTAANCTATACACCCTTCCGAATTCGTTTAAGATGTATTCAAATTTTAGTTATATTCGGATATTTAGAAATTTTGGTTCGATTCCAATCTTGGTTCGGATAATTCATTTAAATTACTTTTAAAATGCATATATATTTTAAATTTACAAAATCTAAAAATAAAAGTCATATATAACATATAAATTTTAATTATATATGCTAAAATCATCTTCTCATGTTACCTATCTATATCATCTTTTCTTCACACTCTCAATCTATATCATCCTCTCTCTCAACGAATCCGTTCAGTTTCCCCTTTCCACTTCGAACTTTCTTCCATCAATTTCTCATGTCTTCTGATATAGATCTAGCTCTTATCTCCTTGACCCTTAAAGATGACGATGACAAACCTTTCACTCTTCCAGATCTTCCTCAGTTCTACGCTACGGAGAGGAATGCATGCAGCCTCATCGGTCGTCTCCTCAACCCCGAACAGAAAAACATGGCTAATCTGATCCTCGACATGCCAAGGAAGTGGCAAAAAGTCAATAGAGTAAAGGGTATCACTTTCACCAGAGAAAGATTTCAATTCATCTTCTCGCATGCACATGACCTACAAGATGTTCTTGATAAAGGCATGCAAACCGTTGATGATTGGGGTCTAGCTTTAGAAAGATGGGTTGAAAATCTTCCCCCTGGTTATCTTCAATATGTTTCCATTTGGGTAAGGATAAGGAACATCCCAGTTAATCACTACACGGAGCCTGCTATTAGTGAGCTAGGAGCACTCATAGGTCATGTCGAGTTGGTAGCTTTTGATACGGAAAAATCTCAGAGACAAGATTATGTTCGAGTCAAGATTCGAATCGATGTCTCAAGGCCTCTCAAAAAAATTAAGGATTCTAAATCTTCCTAGAAGGGCTCAAACTACCATCTACTACTTTTATGAAAAAGTCCAGAAGAGGTGTACTCACTGTCAGAGACTCATGCATGCAAAGGAATAATTTCCGCTTTTAGCCAACTTCCCAAACATGCATGCAGGTTCCTCAAGCTCTTCTCAACAGCCTATGCCTTCTAAACAACAACTGAACATTTCTGAAGATGATCCTCTCTATAGAGTTCTAAAAGAGGATCAAGTTGGTATCAACCCTCTCTCTGGGCGTCCTCGAATAGCACCTGAAGTTCTACAAGAGATCCGTAATTATCTTGTTGCATCGAGTAAGAAAGACATACACGTTAGGGAGCAAAGATTTATCTTCACTGTCAAGGAAACTGAGAAAGATCCCATCTCCCAATAGAAAAGCCTTCAACTCACCCTTCCGCCAATCATTATTTCTGACCTGAACAAAGGTAAAGGCATAGTCTTCAACGTTGAAAATAATGACTTTACCAACTTGGCCCCTGAGTCCATCATTCAACCTCCCAAACTCATGGCAACAGCGATCTCAGTAGGAAACTCCTTGATACACCCTACATCTAATGTCTTCTACAGGCTTTCCTTGCCGCATGATCTTCCTCTTCCCTCTCAGTTACAATCACTACCTCAGGCTGTTCCCTCTTCTACTACAGAAACCAAAAACAAAGCGAAAAGAACACCAGCGAAGTATAGGAGGGCTACTGCTTCCCAGAAGAAAATCTCTAAGAGTCCAGTAGAGCTGATCTCAAGTCCCAACAATGAAGAACTTCCAAGCAAGAAACAAAAGGTGGAAGAAGAATTGGCCGATGCATCCAAGAGTGCTAAACGCATTGCATCAGAGGTGGTCCCAAAGGAGGGATCGTCCAAAGCCTAATGAGCATCATCAGCTGGAACTGTCGGGGTTTGGGACGGCCTCAAGAACTGACAGTGCAAAGACTCTCGGAATTACGAAGTACATACTTCCCTGAGTTTTTTTTCTTATGGAAACAATGAATCCTCGGAATATTTTAGTTGATCTTCAAATCTGGCTGGGTTATGATCGTTTGTACACTGTTGACCCGGATAACATTGGGGTGGTCTAGTTCTTTTTTGGAAGAACAATATTGATGTAACTATATTATTTGCGGACAAAACCTTTTGGATGTAAAAGTTATGTATGAAGATAAGCTTTTCTATTTGTCTTGTGTGTATGGTAACCCTAAATC